TTATTCAAAATGGACGGATTGACTTCATTATGTTGTATCTTTGGCCATACCATGCAATAAATGTGGCTATATTATCATTAAAACTCATAGATTAAATATGATGAGTAATAATGAAGAGATCAGAAGTTTTATTTGGCCAATGACTCATTCACAATGTGAAAGTGTAGTGGAGAATGAACCTACTTGAGAGCAGCCAAGTTACGAGAGGTGAATATACAAGATAGGTGGGCTACTCACACTGACATCCACCACATGAGATCGATGACAAGTAGCTCATGGACAATTGTGAGTGAGTGAGTTTGGTTCATCAGGTATCACGTCAGCTTACTGTGGGAGGAAGACCCGGAGTAACGCAGGTCTCAGGCGTTCATCAGTCGGTGAAAGCCCCGAGCACGGGTGTGGTGCTGATAGAACTAGCAACAGTTAGGGAGAACTGGCATCCACATTCACAGGTGCCTGGCGTACCCAAGGGAGGTAAATCTTCACCTAGAATTGCAGAGCTTTAGAAGACAATAAAACAATCCGCCTTACCGTACTTCTGGCTTGAACCAGCTAATTATGTTATCAAGCACCTGTTGTTAATGTACTGGTGAGCACTACTTAGCTTGTATATACACCACAAAGATGCTTTGAATATCTGCTTCTTTATTTGTTAGACGTTTCGGAGCTACTCCTTGTTAATACGCAGTTCAAAATTAACTAAAACGTCGTGGCCAACGAATACATAAGTTTATATCCGCACAATCTTTAAATCGTTGTCATTACTTCTAAATAGAGAACAGGTATACTCTTCGCCATTCATTTGAGACTGAGGACAGTGTAAGGAACTAGCCCGAGACGCCACTAACACAATGGAACACAATTCGTCATCCATGAACTTGTTTAAATGTTCTAATTATAGGTTTGACAGGACCAGGGCGTAGATACAACAAAGCATTTAGTGTACTGCCTCAGATGGTGGATTTGTAGATTCTAAAGAACGTTACGAGCCAACCTGACTGTATTTATGTGCATAAATCATAATCAAAGAGAAAGAATCGTTCACTGGCTTTTTCCCATAATGATCAAGATGACTACTGCCTCACACCATGCAGCATCCACTGGACAGGTCATCACACAGGGAACCTAACGGTAACGTCGTACAGATCAGGCTCCGATGGCTATCTGAGTATTCCCCTACATTATTTCTTTCATTTCAAAAGAGGGCTTAAATTTTTCACCCCAGTGTAATAATTGAGAGATTTGTTTTTATCGTTGAGGGAGTTGTGTTGATATCGTTTAGAGACTACTGTTGACAGCGTTGAGAGGTTGTGTTGATGGGTTTCCTGATTTGTGTTGGAAGCGTTGTGAGAAAAGTGCGTCAGACGCTGGAAGCCAAAGGAGAAAAGGTTGTGATTGCTTGCAGGGAAGTGATTAATTGTGCGAACATGATGAATTGTTTGGAAAAGCCTAGAAACCCTTAAAAAGAGCAGCGTGCTTTTACTTACTCAACCGTTACGAAATTATCGGCTAAGGCATCAAAAGACATGTTTCAAGTAATGTATGAGTATATCTAGCTGTCAACGTGTCACTGGTTGCACTCGGTGATTTATCTCTACAGAAGCACGCCGGCAGGAGATGGGAATAAATATAGCGATGAGCGCAGACACTTTTCGTTGGAAAAATACAAATTACGTCACCCTTTCCACAAAGGACCTTGACCTTTTTATTCCAATATGACGTGTCTGTTCTCCAACTTCATCCCCGAATTAAATTTTTTCGCCATTTTGTAACTCAACGTTTTGTTTAAAAATCACCGAGCAAATAGTAGCGGTTCTAAACCAGCACCTTGCGTCATCCCTAAACTTTACCTACATACAACCAACCAATCAGATCTGCTATAAGCAAATACATTTAAATTTTTAACGGTAATAAAACAATTGGCTGTGTCTTCTTGACGTTTAAAAGTTCAACAAACGAGGTTTCTAGTGCCCGGTTTTGCAGTAGTTGTGGAGAGCGGTGGTCTGTGTGTCAGGTTTGTTGACGGAAGGGCACGCCATGCACCGTGTCAACACACCCTCTGTCAACACCTGGGTTACGTCGGTCCATCTGGTTGTGAGAAGGTTTAACACTGCAGTAGCGGAGGATTGAGATTGCAAACTAAACACAAAGTGGCCTCAAAGTCTGCTCAGTGTTTGAAGACGAATCAAGTCGATTTACGTCAAAGTGTGCCCTGTGCCTTGTGAAATAAAACTTACAATTCTCAACAAAAAACGGACTGACTCCGGAGTTGAAAGTTGAAGGTTTGGCGAGGGTCTAATTGAGAGGCCGCTCCCACGTTCATTGTGTAACGTTGAATACACAGCTACCTGCAGCCACAGCCTTCCTGTGTACAGCGGTGACTCACTGTCAACACAGGGGGTCACGCACTTCCCTACTACTACTACTACTACTACTACTACTACTACTACTACTACTACTTGTATGGCTGAAATACCGTAGATGTGACTTCTGTGCATATTAATTCACTCACTCACGACTGCTGCTCAGGCCTTCATTGACAACACAAAACAATAAACGCTGTTGACTGTAACAAATATATTGTTAGGTAATATGTCCGCAGGTCTCTACAAATGTGATAAAAAGACACAAGATCTACCTATCTCCATCCCAAGCAATGTTACTGCTGATATTTCCCTTATCATTAATATTGTTGCTACAAAAACAAAACAAACAACGATGACAAAATGCCATGTCTCCGTTGTAAGGCTTGAAGAAGATGGTGGATTCACACTGTGTCAATTAATTCACTGAACTGTACTTCCAGTCCACTGGAACCACACACTGACGTACTGTATGTGACAATACCTCCTTCACGACATCACAGTCTAAACACACAAGCTGCAAAACATCCTAAACGTGTGGAGAACGTCATACATACACACACACACACACAGAGAGACAAACAGACACACACATACACACATACAGATATATATATATATACTTGTATACTAATAAAGCTATTACCTCACACTGATGTTATTTCAGCAAGCCGACATATAATTATGTGTTCTGTACTCTGTCTGATACCAAAAGACGTTAAAATATGGTACTTGTTGGTCCCTGCCTGGCGCTCGGCATTAATGGGTACAACAAGGACTGGTCGGTTGGAGTCAGTATAATGCGTCTGAGTGGGGTATTCATGCTTCACTGCGGCATGGTATCTCAGTGGGCTAGCACTATAAAAAAACAGCTTCAGTCTGGGCTAGTACAAGCAGCCGCACACACACATAGACACGCATGCACGTCGTCATATGAGCGAAATATGCTAGTATTTATATATGTACCTATGCATGTATCTAAGTGTGTATATATGTCAACAATCTTTTCATATTTTTTAAACGCTTTTTAAATATTGCTGATATTCTTTTTTAAGGTGTCATTTCGGCCTCTCGAGGCCTGGTGTTTGCATTTTATATGCTGTACTATGCTGTCCCATCATTTATAACACATGACACTATAATAAACTACTATTATTATTATTATTATTATTAATATTCTCAAGCACGACGTTAAACCCAATTTCACCTCACCTCACCTGTGTGATAATGAAAACTGTTCATTTCCCCACGGCGGAATAGCTGTCATATAATTCTGCTCATAGGATTCCCATGTGAACTACATGTAAACGACTAACTGCAATATGGATGCATCTTTATATATCTAAACTTGACAACTCTACAACCGTGTTCAGGTTTTTCGATAGAGTAATTAGGAGGTACCTGTTGTAATACAGTTTAGGTTAGTTCGAATCGGAATGTACAAATTGGAGACTTTCTCTTCTTGTCACACAATAACATTGATAAATCCTGTCTCTCCATAAACCTGTTCTGGATTTAAGACATTTCCGCTTTATAAAAATACTTCGTCATACATGATATATGTAAGATATGATATATGATATGTGTCCCCGCGTCGCTGTTCATAACGTATATTGTACGTTTTCTGGTTAAACACAGAGTTGTGTATTGTTTTCCTTATTCGTTTTGGAGAGGCTCATCGTAAGCCGCGTCGTAGTAACCTTTGGCCTTTATTGACCTTAAGCGGCACGATCGGGCCCCGAAGCTGTGTAACTAAGTGTGTCATAGGGTGTATATTTGGGCGCACGACTGTCCCTGTAACTTCCACATCGGGGTATGTGCGTGACTCACGCGGGTCTAAATCAGTCCATGATAATCATTGTGGATGCAGATAGGTGCACGCGTCATGTCCCGGCGCGCACCTGCCTTCACTGGGACGTTTGTTTGGTCACGTGATCAAAACAAATGGTATCGGTGTTTACATCGGAGCTGGGTCGGGGCTTCCCCGGGCGCAGTAGCTGGATATAGATATGACGTAATTTGACACAGTTACATGTGAAAAAACTTTCAGCTGACGTCGATTAAGCTACGGAGGACCGTGCGCGGCGTGTTGCACGGAGATCTGGGACGTTCTAACAGTGGTGTTTCTCTAGTCCAAACAAATTTAATTTCTGACGCGATTTATCCGACAGTCTATGTATTGTAATTTCTCTTTCCCCATGTTTCCAGTGATGTTTATTACCGAGAAGATCGGTCCAGATCGTTCCCTTTTAGTGGAAATGAACATTTGTGACGGTTTGAAACAAGCTTTAAGAAATTTTTATCCTAAATGAGATAATGGTTTTCTCGATGCTATTTGTGTCGGCCAGATGTCGTTCTCGTAGCACAAAGGTTGACAAAGGTTGCATATGTTACGTCACACCCGACAGACACGTGTTGGTATGTAACCTTGTACATTTGGTATCACTGATGCTGAAATATGTGGAGCTCATTAAATAGCAATTACCCTTCCAGACCAATAACGCTAATCATTATTCAAGCAAGGTAACTCCATGTGTTGAAACTTCCACACAAACCACCACAATAGCTCATAGAATCTATTGCATTGCCGAGAGCGGTGATCACCAAGCACTGACTATGAAATTGAGGGGTTTTCAAGTGAAATTGATCTGTGTGTGGAGTTGGTTTGACACCTGTTGATGACTGAGAGCGGTGTGTGTCAACCTCGACCGGCGGGTTGTAACTCGTTGTAGCGGTTGTACGCTTGTGTTGACAAGGGAGGCGAAGTGTGGCCGTCACGTGCCTCCTCTCCTCAACTTCCTTGCCGCGCTGCACGCTTTGATGTATTGTAGTGGCAGAGAAGAATACACGTGTAGATTTCATCATTGACAAGGTAGGGCCCAACTTGCAACCACTTTGCCTGTCTGCATCTTTCTCAATGCTTTTGACAATTTTATTGGACATGTTATTTGTGTGCTTTTTTGGGGGGTCGGGTTTGAATCTCTCTTAATTGTTTCATAATGTCCGCATATTTGTAAATGGACTTATGTAAAAAAATATTAGTTCATTATGCAATGAATTGAGAACATAAGAGAAGTTAAAAAAATTAAGTCTGTGTATGTTTCTTGACAGTTGTTCAAAGTCATAAATATTGCAGTGTATTAACTCATTAGAAAACAATACAGTCCACCACAAAGGACCATATGCAAGCGCGGGTGTCTTTACACCCGTCTATCAGCGATTCGGGCGCTGTAGGTGCCCAGGGGCTGGAGGGCCGTTAGTCTAGTTCCTGGCCGGATCCACCGTGTTGAGGGGTGTCTGTCCTTTCTGACAACTCCCACCCTTGGTACAATATTTGTTGATTCAGTGACCCTCAAGTCAAGACACTTCAAGACAAGTCTTTTATTGTTTATAGGCCACAGGCCCGTATACAACATATTCACAAATTTTACATACATGTATACAATAACAAAGGTTTAGTTTACAGCACATAGTTTTAATGATACAGTACATGGAGAAATCATGCCAAAATATATATCTTAATGAATCAGCAAGTATTTTGCTTCTCTCAGTTCATATGTATGGTATACATGTATTTGTTAGAAGTGTTTCGTTATGAGTAGTTAGTAGGAATTTCAACTTATGATAATTAGGTTTGTGACAATACACAGATGGTAAATATTTTGATCTAAGAGCATTATAGACATTACAAACAAATAGAAAGTGGTACTCATCTTCTACTCCAAAATTGCTCAAATGGACAGATGCGTTCCGTTACATAAATATTTTGCAATCTACCTTCATTATACTTATTATACTTTAATCTTAATCTTAATACAACATGTAACGCTTGTATCTTGGTACCAAGTTGGACTAGTCAGAAGGGGATTCCTTGAAATGTTCATTTCATGTAATTCTATATTCATCTATTTCTTCATCTGTTTCAAGTTCCAAATGTCACTAAATGTTTACAAGAAATCCTTTGTTTGGGAGTGATAAACCGGTTGTGAAAATAAGGCAGATAACAAGAAATAAGATATGAGAATAACGACAATATCTCTCATTTGACCTTGTTCATGTTAAATAATGGCTTAGTATAGATGACTGCTGCAGTTTAACCCCTTCTGTTTTTGTAAATATAAGCGCCCGATCTGGCTGCCTCTACATTTCCCCACACCCTCGCTCTAACACGCCTGGTACACGGTAACAAGCCTCACTTAGTCTTTGCCAGGCAATTCTATGCATTGCATTGCACAACAATCATCATCATCATCATCATCATCATCATCATCATCATCAGTGGGAGTAGTAGCAACAGCAGAAGTAGTAGTAGTAGTAGTAGTAGTAGTAGTGTGTCCCCGGGAGTTTTACTTTATTCAGCGTGATATCACGTGACCGACTTATGTTTAGATAAAGACAATGTGTGTTAATTAACTTGCATTTGTTGAATGCATTACCATTAAAAACACAATTAGCACCAACACGTGGTCAATATCATGGCTTATGTCTAAATAAAACTATAAATTACAGTGGTGATAACTATTCATAAGCTGACAGAAACCGTTCCTTACAGAGACTTCGGCAGGACGTCCAGGAGGATGCTCACACAAATATACTGTTACTTCCGTCGCCCACTCGTTATGAAGACACTATTGTGGACTTGTTTACATAGACGTCCCATCTCAATAATCATTTCCTTTTAATAACGTCTGTCGCAGGGCACGGACTTGTGATGGTTTGTATTCTCTGTGCGCCAAATCGATTTTATCTTGAGTGTGTTTGCACGATTTGGAACACTCGTGCCGCAAACTTGAACAACAAACAACCTCCACCCCTGATTCGCAACAAGTCTAAGCCCAACATATTGTCCCTCTAACTCCCTCTGGCCGCCTGACAGAAAGTGGGAGAGAAGGAAGGGGTTGTCAACAGGAGGGTTATACTTCACACACAGGAATATTACAGTCTCTTCTACAGACGGCTGGGCTGTTAGATAAAAGCGTTAATGCGTTCTCAGCCTTAGCGGCCAATGTCCATCCAACGTTCAGATCAAACAGCCAATGCCCATCCAATGTTCAGATCAAACAGCCAATGCCCATCCAATGTTCAGATCAAACAGCCAATGCCCATCCAATGTTCAGATCAAACAGCCAATGCCCATCCAATGTTCAGATCAAACAGCCAATGCCCATCCAATGTTCAGATCAAACAGCCAATGCCCATCCAATTATAGATCAAACAGCCAATGTCCATCCAATGTTCAGATCAAACAGCCAATGCCCATCCAATGTTCAGATCAAACAGCCAGTGCCCATCCAATGTTCAGATCAAACAGCCAATGCCCATCCAATGTTCAGATCAAACAGCCAATGCCCATCCAATGTTCAGATCAAACAGCCTGTACTCATCATATTTTCAGATCAAACAGCCAATGCCCATCCAATGTTCAGATCAAACAGCCAATGCCCATCCAATGTTCAGATCAAACAGCCTGTACTCATCAGATTTTCAGATCAAACAGCCAATGCCCATCCAATGTTCAGATCAAACAGCCAATGCCCATCCAATGTTCAGATCAAACAGCCAATGCCCATCCAATGTTCAGATCAAACAGCCTGTACTCATCAGATCCCATTCCTGGCTGCGGGTAGGTTGTTGGCAGGAGTCGGAGATTGGTTTGGGTAGATAGTTGATATAGGTGAATGAACTCAGCTGGATCTAACGGGCGTGATGAGTTCGAATCCCAAATGTACCCAACAGGAATACCAACTGTTCCATTTCACTCAGCTTTTTGGCTTCAGGTCTGTGTGTGACGGAAGTATAGTTAAATGTTGAGAAACACTCGCGTGGTAGTGAATATAGAGGACGACCGTAACACTAACTTGGTTTGGTGACACACCCTGATATAACGACAAACATATCCTGTCACTCACTCACTCACTCACTCACTCACTCACTCACTCACTCACTCACTCACTCACTCACTCACTCACTCACTCACTCACTCACTCACTCACTCACTCACTCACTCACTCACTCACTCACTCACTCACTCACCCACCCACCCACTCACTCACTCACTCAATCACTCACTCTTTTTTCATTTGGTAGAAACATGAACCCAAGCATTTCTGGATTGGAAAATATCCGGATGGACGAATACCAGCAAAACGGAAGTAGGATATCGGATCCGCGGCTGCGCAAAGCGGTTGCTATGGTAACGGAAACTCAGAGACTGACCCCACTGTTAAAGGAGGAGCTTCGCCTGCAGATCCTCACAAAACGTCACGCTAATGGACAGGCTGAAATCGACAAGGAAGACCATACCCCTAAACAATTTGAGGTATTCGCTGAACTTGTACGATAGACCTCGGTGGAGAAAACCAGTCAATATAGACCACACTTACTGTACTTGTCCGTCACAGGTGACACGGTTGTGTGTCCCGATTGAATTAGTCAGCTCTCATGCTATTGGCCATTAGTTTCATTATTGATAGGCTGTCGCATTACAGTGAAACCTGTGGGAGTAATATTGCATAGTACGGCGTAAAACACCATTCTCCCTCTCAGAATGTATGTAGACAATGTCCACTCTCCACTCTCGTTCAGAGTTGACATGCCTCAATGTATACGTGGACTGACAGGTTTGCAACATGTCAATTTCAGTTAACCCCGGAGGAGATAGAGAAGAAACAACGAAGAAGAGAGCAGAACAGATTAGCTGCTCAACGATGTCGCCAGAAGAAAAAGATGTGTCAGAACTTCGTCTTACTGGTATGAGAATGTGTAGATCTGTAGATGCAACCGACGATAAGTTGACCAAAACATTTGTTTACTTTTGGCATGTCGTATACACATTTCCAGACAACCCCCACCCATCCTCAACCCCGTCCCCTTCTTCTCTAACTCATGTCGTTTGTATCAAATTTCAGGAACTGGAGAAGCAGCAGGCCCGGAACCGAGACCTAGAGATGGAACTGCGCAAACTCCGCCGAGAGAAAATGGAGCTTCAATCAGCGTATGAGAGTCATGTGACTTCCGGTTTGTGCAGCTTTGTCAAACCAGAAGGAGAACAAATTCTTCCGCAATGTTCCTTTTCGGATTTCAGTTTCATCGGCGAAGCTTTGAACTTACCAGAGGATTGATAGCATCGTGTACCATTGTGTTTCCGACTTGACCCAGACTTGCCAAACTTATTGTCGCACAGTGTCTTTCAGAGTTCCGTCTTGCAGTTGTTTTATATTGTCTTCATTAATGCTGGCCACAGAACTTACACATATTCTGACTGTAACCTTGACAGGATATTCATTCCACATATCCCGGCAAAGGAACTAGAAGTTGGGAGTCATATCTTATCTTAAAGCAGGCGGATTCATAGTGCTTAAAAGAAATGGAACCCGACCTGTATTTATTGCGCACAAGCCGGTAAAAGGCTTGACAGTGAGGATTGTAAAGGGTTTTAAGAGCCTCATTAAAGACAAATATACCATAACTCTGAGCTCTCAGAGGGTGCCACTCCTGTTTTTGGTACTAAGGAATCCAACCCATGTTTTGTGGTAGGCTATATAACGCATATGCTATCTCACAGTCTCTGAACCACACTATATTCCCTGCTGCCCATCCCTCCATGCAATGCTTAAGGCCCTGAATGAAGCAAGTCTAGATTTGCTCAGCTTCTGGCTCACTGGGGCTCCTTTTCTGTATAAATAGGATTATTTGTTACTGTCAAAATTATATATATTCAGAGATTAAGCTAATTGTCTAAACGCAGTGCTGTACGGCGGAATCTGACCCATGTTTAGTGGTAGTCCAGATAACGCAGTGATGTGCGGAGAATACCATGAATGGATCACTTTTAATAATTTAGTGATATGCTGAAGGTTCAGTCTCTAATTTTAGGCTAATTATTTATTGTTTTCAACCCAAGCCCATAACGCGTGTCTGCACACACTCGTGGCAATACCCTCACACATTTACACATGTACCCCCCACAACATGACCCCAATCCCTACACACACACATACAACATCCCCTGCTTCCCCTGTCTGACCGATGTACCCCGCCGTCATATTGCTGGAATATTGCTAAAAGCGGCGTTAAACCATACTCACTCACTCCACAGTCACACAGATATTCCAAAACACCCGCAAATTCCCACAAACCAGTGATATACCTAGTGATATGAATGTATATATACCAATGTGTTAATAAACTTATTCATCCTTCCGATTAGCGTATCACACTGCGTACAGCAGGACAGGTGTCAGTGTATTGACGCAGGCGACAGTAACATCTTCACTCCTAAGCCATGTCCGGGATGCAGACATATTTGCGTCTTGCAGCTACCGGAACATTCTCGTCATCGTGTTTGATGCAAGTGACACAAAAGTTTACGCCAAATGAAAATTGTTTTGTGACCCGGATTGAGGTTTTATGAACCTCTCTTAAAGGTGTCTGACAATGCCAGTTATGTAAAAATGTCTGCGATGAAAACACACCGGCCATATACGTCCACTCGTTAATCTACATGTCTGCCTGTTACACCAGAGAGCGGTGCGTGTGATACGCTCAACACAGGTGAATTGAATCTATCGCGAAATAAAACTCCGACCAGTGTGTCCCCATTGCGGATATGGAAAGGGGAGGGGGAGATTTTAGTACGGATAGTTCCTTTACTCCTGCCAGAGATATTTGGCTGCTAGAAAACCTGTAGAGCAGATGTCTACACGACAAAATCATTTTGGACATTCCCAATTTGATTCATTTCCATAGATTTTTATACCCCACCGGTCAGTCGTGGTGTTGGCCTACTATGATCTGATGTTTATATTGTACATGTTTATATTGTTCAGGTTATTCTCCATCACATTAACATCGGGGTGGCGGGAAATCATATCATATGCTATGTTGTGGGTTTGTGCTCTGGTGACAGAAGACCACCCACAGATGCGTTAAAACCGGTCTTCAAAAAACGTTTATTTTCGGAGCCTGTAAAACGCGACTGATTTTGGTTATGTAATAGATCGAGTGAACTCGCCGTTCCATTACATTTGTGGTGGTAAAGTTTTGGACATTTTCAGATAAAATCAAAGAAATAATGTAAGAAATTAAAAAGGTTAATCAGAAGAGTTAATATTCTTCTAGAAAAGTGGTCTCGTGTGGCAACATCAGGTAAACACACAGAACCAGCTGAGCACAGCCCCAGAAGATGTATTTTACGTTTATATATATATATATATTAAAATGACATATACTAAATATGTAAAATGCTATTTTCTGTAGCATGTTTATTCTATGTTTTATGACTGAACTGATTAAAGGCAGTATATTCCCATGAAAGCAATACGGTGTATTCAGGTGTTGCCTTTAAGTGTGACTATCTAGCAGTACATCTTGAATAATCCCGTGCTTCCCTTGTGTACCTGAGTCAATGCTGTACAATCACCACGCTTGAATGTTTCACTGTTTAATCTCTCACGCGAACATACGTGTACATCCTACCCCTGTGAGCGTACCATCCGTAACTATTTACGTATCATACGTCCACAAGAACGTATGTCTGTCAGAGTTAACGCAGAATGAACGGATGTGAAGGGAATACAACCGAACAGATTTCAGGCCGTAAGACAACAATATATGAAGATCACAGTGATTATACAAATGTCTACATTTTGGTGACAGGGCTGGTAGTCTGAGTATAAGGCATATAAGCTACAATAATAAATAGTAGTACATACTACTTTCTTTTACACAGAGGACTTACATCTAGATTTTCACATAAATTTTACAGAAAAAAATCATTTTCCCAGTGACTTGTACCTGGACATGACAGTGCTACAAAAAGTACAAAGTTTTCGAAATTGACCAACTTTTTCATATTGGAACAATTGACAGAATTTAACAGAGTTTGATCTTTTGTAAAAGTAACGTTTAATAATTTGGTTTCTCGAATCAACAAAATTGGGACATTCTAAAATTGCATGGTATTCATGACCGATAGAGGTATTACAGAGAGTACATATACGCTCGTGTAGAGGTACACCATGCCAACGGCCCACCTCAACTGGTAGAAGGCGATTAGATGTACGAAAAAGACGCAATTTAATCCAGCTGTTTTCTGGTAAAATGCTTAAATTATTTTCAAATTCAAACTGTGTCTTAAAGATCCGGTGATACTTGGCCTTTGAGGAATTAAACATATCTGACAACCAAGTCTGTATATACTGATCCTCTAGCCTTACTCTGATAATGTTTGTAAGAGATGACGATGAAACATGGTCCTGGTTATACCATATGTGAAAAAAACCCTGTCTCTGTGAAAATAGACTCCAGACATTTCATCCATTTCTGTGGATGATTTCCCAAGTATTGATCAGCATACATGAGTTGAAAAAACGCAACAGATAATTTGTTGAGGGAAGAGGGGATACAAGGACACCCCTTGAGTGGATCCACTTGTATCACTTGTTATATATATATAATACATGTATATATTCTTGTATGCGGACCACGTAGGTTGGTGTCACGTGTAACAACATATTCAGATATTCAGATATCCTACCTGTAAACGTGTAAACTGTTCATCAGTTCCCCTGCATCCGCGAGGATGGTTTCCCTTGTTTCCTAAGATGATACTTTCCATGCACATGACAGCATATTAATGTTCTTATAATGGGCACTTTTGACCCCCAATGTGACAAGAGAAACACGTGTTCCACGTCCGTCAAACAACGATCTTGTTCTGAAACCTATCAGTGGGATAATTTAAAGTTTCCGCAGATCTTTTTTAACAACAATAATGTAAATCGTAACAATGTGAATCGTAACGAACTTTTGACCCACAAAAAGGAAGATTATTTATGGATGGACAACTTCGTTATTGCAATAGATGCGACGTTTCGGTGTAGATTCTATGTGAGAAATTGCTAGATAACGGTGTTACGGTGTAGATCCTATGTGAGAATTTGCTAGATAACGGTGTTACGGTGTAGATTCTATGTGAGAATTTGCTAGATAACGGTGTTACGGTGTAGATTCCTATGTGAGAATTTGCTAGATATCGGTGTAGATCCTATGTGAGAATTGCTACGGTGTAGATCCTATGTGAGAAATTGCTAGATAACGGTGTTACGGTGTAGATTCTATGTGAGAAATTGCTAGATAACGGTGTTACGGTGTAGATCCTATGTGAGAAATTGCTAGATAACGGTGTTACGGTGTAGATTCTATGTGAGAATTTGCTAGATAACGGTGTTACGGTGTAGATCCTAAGTGAGAAATTGCTAGATAACGGTGTTACGGTGAAGATCCTATGTGATAATTTGCTAGATAACGGTGTTACGGTGTAGATTCTATGTGAGAATTTGCTAGATAACGGTGTTACGGTGTAGATTCTATGTGAGAATTTGCTAGATAACGGTGTTACGGTGTAGATTCTATGTGAGAATTTGCTAGATAACGGTGTTACGTGTAGATCCTATGTGAGAATTTGCTAGATAACGGTGTTACGGTGTAGATTCTATGTGAGAATTTGCTAGATAACGGTGTTACGGTGTAGATCCTATGTGAGAATTTGCTAGATAACGTGTTACGGTAGATCCTATGTGAGTGAAATTTGCTAGATAACGGTGTTACGTGTAGATTCTATGTGAGAAATTGCTAGATAACGGTGTTTACGGTGTAGATCCTATGTGAGAAATTGCTAGATAACGGTGTTACGCTGAATATTGTAGATCCTATGTGAGAATTTGCTAGATAACGGTGTTACGGTGTAGATCCTATGAGAATTTGCTAGATAACGGTGTTACGGTGAAGATCCTATGTGATTTGCTGATAACGGTGTTACGTGTAGATTCTATGCTGAGAAACGGTTGCTAGATAACGGTGTTACGGTGTAGATTCTATGTGAGAAATTGCTAGATAACGGTGTTACGGTGTAGATTCTATGTGAGAATTTGCTAGATAACGGTGTTACGGTGTAGATCCTATGTGAGAATTTGCTGATAACGGTGTTACGTGTAGATCCTATGTGAGAATTTGCTAGATAACGGTGTTACGTGTAGATCCTATGTGAGAATTTGCTAGATAACGGTGTTACGGTGTAGATCCTATGTGAGAATTTGCTAGATAACGGTGTTACGGTGTAGATCCTATGTGAGAATTTGCTAGATAACGGTGTTACGGTGTAGATCCTATGTGAGAAATTGCTAGATAACGGTGTTACGGTGTAGATCCTATGTGAGAATTTGCTGATAACTTGATTATTACGGTGTTAGATCCTATGTGAGAATTTGCTAGATAACGGTGTTACGGTGTAGATCCTATGTGAGAATTTGCTAGATAACGGTGTTACGGTGTAGATTCTATGTGAGAAATTGCTAGATAACGGTGTTACGGTGTAGATCCTATGTGAGAATTTGCTAGATAACGGTGTTACGGTGTAGATCCTATGTGAGAATTTGCTAGATAACGGTGTTACGGTGTAGATCCTATGTGAGAATTTGCTAGATAACGGTGTTACGGTGTAGATCCTATGTGAGAATTTGCTAGATAACGGTGTTACGGTGTAGATCCTATGTGAGAATTTGCTAGATAACGGTGTTACGGTGTAGATCCTATGTGAGAATTTGCTAGATAACGGTGTTACGGTGTAGATCCTATGTGAGAATTTGCTAGATAACGGTGTTACGGTGTAGATCCTATATGATAATTTGCTAGATAACGGTGTCAGGATCTACACCGAAACGTTGCATCTGTTGCAATAAAGAAGTTGTCGATCCATAAAAGTGTTCCTTTTCATCATACCAGCTTCTACATGCCACTGAACTATACTTGCAATCAACAACGTTTATCACAATGTGCAATGTATTGTGTATACCTCTACCAAATAAATGTTTCTGTCTATTGATTTGTGTGTGGTGTATACTTAAAAATACATATATTATCTATAAGTGCTACGATGCACACAACACGTTGTACTCATTGTGCTATAAGATGTATCCTTTTCTGATTGTCTACATAATTATATCTATACTGATGTATAAAAGAAAGTACACACCTGGTGTTTTGAGACCATTAAATGCAACGTAAATATTTTGCTAGCAATGTTCCAATTGGGTACGATATCTATGGTGTTATTGCAACACGTACACAATGTTTGTGACTTGTGAGTCGCAATCAAAACACTTTTCTAAATATTACGCTGTTTTCAGGTAAACATTTTACCAAAGCATCAGGTGTGTACTTTCTTTTGTACGTCAATTTAAATGCTACAAAGTACATAATTTACTTATCACGACAGAATTGAGATATAATACTGTGAAAGACCGAATTTGGTACAGCCTCGATACCACCAGTTATGAATGGGTCCGTGACGGCTTACAAAGACTGCATGCACGCAGTCGTTCAAGCACCGGCATTTCCTCTACAGTGAATGAGTGAGTGAGTTTAGTTTTACGCCGCTTTTAACAATATTCCAGCAACATCATGGCGGGAGACACCCAAAATGGGCTTCACACATTGAACCCATGTGGGGAATCGAACCCGGGTTTTCGGCGTGACGAACGAACGCTTTACCCACTAGGCTACCCCACCGCCCCTCCTCTACAGGGTTGTGTTGAAGTCCTGATTCTCCTCCATTATGTTTGTAGGTTGGTCCACACCAGTACCGTGGCCGTGGGTTCCCCACTGTCGTAAACATCTGAGATTTGTTCCATGCCACACAACGCTGACAAGCCGTGCAGTAACTTGAAAACAGCTGCATTAAATGTGAAGACTATATCTTCAAATGTAGGTCTAAATCAAACTACATTGTACATTCAAATTTTATTTCATTCTTTATTTTGAGATGTAATAACAATGGACCATATGTGAGACACTTCGGATTTACAGCGTCTCATAATGTTACTAAAATTAAATTTAAACAGACACGACATGATGTCATGTCGACATGCAGTGTAGGGTCATAAATATGTCATGTCAGTACAGACTGTGCCATGTCATGTCATGTATATTGTTACTCGTTGGCTTGTAATAGAATTCAACTGAATGCATTAAACACAATTACAACATGTTTTCGCAAAAACTCCCTTTTTCAATAAACAATGCCATATCAGTACATCACTGGCACATGTTACAAATTAGAATGGGTCTGGTTGATGTCGTCGCTGAATGTGATGGAAAATGATCCTTAAACTTCCTCATTGATGGAATAAAAGAAATTTAATTTTTTTTTTTATCTGGTTGCGCTGCTCCACATCATGCTGCGTGTACGCATTCCCACAGTTACCAAACTATTTACAGTTATCAGTTGCTACAGTTACATTGGACAATATCTTACATTGTTCGCCATGTACATATGTAAGTCCACATTTCATTGGCCAATATCATACAGTGTACGCCATGTACATATGTAAGTCCACATTTTGTTGGGTATACCTTTCAGAACAAGTGTGTGTCTGGCGTAGTGTGTACTACTGGAAGGGGTGGGAGATGTGTGTCTGGCGTAGGTTGTACTACTGGAAGGGGTGGGAGGTGTGTGTCTGGCGTAGGTTGTACTACTGGAAGGGGTGGCAGGTGTGTGTCTGGCGTAGGGTGTACTACTGGAAGGGGTGGGAGGTGTGTGTCTGGCGTAGGTTGTACTACTGGAAGGGGTGGGAGGTGTGTGTCTGGCGTAGG